ATGGGGGGACAAACCGTCAGGATGTGTTTTTGAGGAGATTTAGGAAAAAGGCAACAGATGACCACGATTATGGAATTAGAGTGTGTAAAGGGGGGGGGGGATATAGGGGGGGGCAGGTACTTTGTACCACCGATGGAATGAGCAATTATGCTGATTATAGGTTTAGGGAAAATTTTAAGCAGGGGGGGGAAGGAGGGAGGGAGGAGAGATTCTAGAGAAGGAATTCGGGGGATTTTAGGGGAGGAGGAGAGAGCGGTAATAGAGGGTAGGATCAGTGAGGAGGAGGTGGAGGAGGCGGTAATGGGCTTGAGTAGGGGAAAAGCGCCGGGCATTGGGTGGGAAATTTCCCAATGATTTCTATATTACACATTGGGATTGTATGAAGGAATGTCTGGTCTCATGTTTAACTGTATGAAGGAAAGGGGAGTGTTGGGGGAAATCGCAGGGGACGGGGGTAGTTGTGTTGGTCTATAAGGGAGGGGGGGGAAGACCCTTTGGGTGCTTTTAGGGCGATCTCCCTCATGTGTGCTGATTATGAAGTTTTTGTGAAGGTTTTAGGTAATCATATGAAAAAGGTGCTTGACCGAGTCCTACATAGAGGACAGTGTGGGATTCCAGGTCAAAGTATGCGTGAGGGGCATGGAAGAATTAAGGATTTTGTGGAGAGTAGACAAGGGGGGGGGATCTTGGGGATTGATTGGAAGCAGGCTTATGACAGTGTAGATAGACGCATGTTGTGGAGTATTTTACAAAAACAGGGTTTTGGAGATGAGATTGTGCACTGGGTGACTACTTTGTATACGCCTGCGACGGTCAGGGTACAGGTTAATGGGAAGTTAGGGTTGCCGGTGCAGTTGGGGATGGGTTTGCGACAGGGTTGCCCCTTATCTCAAATCCTCTTTGCATGCATGCAGGACCCTTATTATAGGCTTATAAAGGAGTGTGGGAACAGGGAGAGGTGGGTCCTGGCAGATGTGGTATTGTGGGGTATGTGGATGACACCACAGTTTTGGTGGGAGGGGAAATAGGATTGGGGAATGTGGGACGTATAATAAGAGATTTTTGGTGGGGCGACAGGGATGAGGGTTAATGGAGCAAAGTCAAAGTTATTAGAAGTAGGCATGTGGGGGGGGGGAACTGTATGGGTGGAATGAAGTGGATAGAATTAAGATATGAGGGGTTGTGTATATGGCGGACACTGGGGAGGCGCAGAGAATAAATTCCAAGGAAGTTGTGAGTAAAGCGATGGGTAGGATGTGCGGGTGGAGGGCTGGGATGAAAACATTGCAGCAGAGGGTGGTGGTAGTAAACACATTTGTGTACAGTAAAGTGTGGGGAGTGGCAGAAGTATATCCCCTGAGGTCGTGTGACATTCAGGGAAATGGAGAGGGTGGTTTTGAGGGATGTGTGGGGTTTTGGGAAGCCATGGCTACGGAAGGAGGTGGTGATGATGGGCGTGTGGCAGGGTGGGCTGGGTCTTATACCTTTAGACACACGAGTGAAGGCAGTGTATGTGAAGCAGCGGTACTCGAGGGTGGGAGGGGAGAGGGGTAGAAGGGTGGGAGAGGTCATGGAGGATGTGCAAAAATGGTGGAAGGGAAAGGCACTACTGGTGTGTGAAGATATGGTGCGAAATTTGTTGGCAGTAAGGGAAGCAAAAAAAGTAAGGGTAAGTAGGCTTGGGAGGACAGGTTGGCAGGGTAAAGTGATACAGGGAGTAGCTACATACCCGATGTATGATTGGAAGGGCATTTGGGAAGACTTTCGGAAGATCGGATTAAAGCCAAGGGTTCATGAAGTGGTTTATAGATTCTTTATGGGAATTCTAGCTACAAGGTCAGCGCCATATAGAATGGGTTATGTAGGTGCGGGCACTTGTTTGCATTGTGGGGAAGAGGAGACGGCTTTTCATGCTGTATATTTTTGTGAAAACTTGGAGTTTGTAAGGACATGGTTAGCGAGGGTCCTGGGTATAGTGGCAGGAGAGGGGAGAAACATTTCTACTTTGAGGGCTTTGCATTTTGATGTGGGCGAGGTTTCCAAGGACATTCGGAGGGCAGTGATGTATGTAGTGGCAGATTTTTTGTGTGTGTCTTGGTGCATGCTGGAGGTGGGGGGGTGAATGTAGGGTGCGGGCGCTTGCGGCGAGTGTGTATCGTACAGTATGCAGAAATAGGCTACTATATGGGAGGGTGTGGGTAAATAGTTTTCCCTTGGGTTATCGTAATCTGACGGTAGGTGTAATGTTAGGGTTGGGTGTAGTTTAGAGCTGGATTGGGCTGTTTCTCCCTAAACTGGCATTTTTGTTCCATTTTGAGATTAGTGGAGGATGGAAGGTGGAATAAAAGTGTGTGGTAGTGGAGCATATGGGTGTAAAAGTCGTTAGGAATGAGGGGGGGCGTAGGGGGGGGTGAACTGGTGACATTTGGTTAAGAGACAGGGGTTTTATGACTTTAGACGTCAGGTATGGACTTGAGCATGAAAGGGAACGTGAGTTTGTGTTTTTTTAATATAGATAGCATGGGGTCAGGGGATGGCAGGGGGTGGCTTTCTGAAGTGTCTTTTGCCAAGATGGTTTTGTTAATGATTGAGGTAGTACTGCCCTGTACATGTTTTATTAGGAGCCATAAGTTATATTATGTAACTTAGTGCATGATAGAGTAAGTCTGATATTGCTCTGGAACATTGTTAATAAATATATCTTGTTGAACATGATAATACATAAAAATGGGAATATGTATTAGTGTGAGTGTTCCAATTTCTAGTGTACTGTTACCATATTAGTTGGTACCCTTCACTTTGTCAAATAATTACTATCTATATACTGTTATAAGTTTTATTTATGTTAGTTCTTATTTTATACGTTTTAAGTAAACAAATGTAAGATGTTGTGACGTCTAGTGCAAGTGGCATTTATCTTGCACTGGGGAAAAGGGGAAGTGTAATTTAATTATGATTGGATCATAACGACATGTCATAGAATGTATGTACACTGTATTTAAAAGACGGGAAGGATTGTGAGGATTGTCAATATATGTATTAATTCTTACCTGGAGTTTACCTGGAAATTTATGTAAATTTCATGGAATTCAGCGTAATAGCAATGTACACCTATTAGTCGGATGATAAGTATTGATATTTTTATGCTTATTGTAATATAATTTTGATTGATGAAATGTATAATCTGGTATTTAGCTTTGGAGTAAAGAGATAAAAAGCATAGGGGATGGGGGAGATTTTGTGTCAGCACAAAGATGAACCAGCAGTGTGTATTTAGAAAATGGAAAAATTTTATTTTTCTGTGGCAGAGTCGATAAGGGGTTCTTATATTCTTTTATTTTATTGTATTCTAATGTATTTTTAAATTCAATGACTGATGGTGGTTATGAGTGGTGACGGCAGACGCAGTTACTAGGCATGTGGGGGGGGGGGGTTGAAGTGTCAGCGGTAGTGTATTAAACCCACCACCGTGCACGATATTGATTGTTATCATGGGGTATATGAGGGTTAGGGTGTGGAATGGTTTCAATGGTGGATGTGTGCTATCATGTTCAGACATTCCTTGTATTATAGTCAGCCTTTTAGATGGCTGGATTGTGTTTATACATGTTGTCAATGAAGTCCTTAATGCTCTTATAAATGTATAAGAGATTTGTCAATGAGTATACTAAGGTGAAAGTGGTATGTTTTCAAGGAAGGGGGGAGTGTAAGCATTACTAGGTAGGACTATCGTTTATTATAAGACCATCTTTTCACGTGAAGCACAGTACATAAAAGCAGTGTTTGATTGGAGTGCAGCCAGTTCTGATGTCATTATATAAGTGCTTCTTCGGTATTTGTGTAGTCACTGCAGATTATTGTTTCACTGCCTGTATCTTGCTACATCTTGATTATGTACCCATATCTTTTGTACCCGAGTTTTAAATAAAATATAAAAAAATGCGTATCAATTACCCAGGCTAACCTCCCCAAAAAATTCAGATACAAGAACATAAGAAATAAGGAACACTGCAGCAGGCCTATTGGCCCATTCTAGGCAGGTCCAAGTCACCAAGTGGCCTAGGCCAGTAGGCTTACAGTGCTCATTATCTATGTTCTCATACATTCTTCCGTTATTGAAACCTAATATTGTATATTTTAGCCTGAAATTTGCTACTAAACGTCACCGAGCACCTAAAAGCTATAGTGCCCTTTCTTAAAAGTGTATTAATCAAACAAATGTACTAAAATTACCCTATAAATTTATTTCTATGTCATTTTCATTCGCATGGAAATCTGGTTATGAATTTCCTCCAATTTTCTGCAATCTGTATCATACACACATTTTCCTTTAGCATCAAACCTATTGGTTCCCCAAAATACATAAAATTCATTAAAAAAAATAAATTTTGAGTAGCCAGACACGTGGGTGGCAGCGGCTCACATGGCGGCTCACTTAAACGTTTTATTTCTAAGAAAAACTTTAATAACTTTCATTACTTGCGTCCTATAATCCAAAGTAAAGGTTAATATCAAATTTATTTTAATTCGCCTGACATTAAATGTAAATTTATGGAGCATAGTACTCGTTTAATGGCTGAAATATGCGATTTCCAGCTCCGAAGATCCATTAAAACATATTATGAAGACAAATATAAACTTAATTCTGGACAGCATTTCAGTAATGGGTCTTTGGGTTGTCGTATTGTGATTAAAAATTTATTATATTTACTACGAAACATTAAAAATAAAAATAGGCGCCAAAACGTTGCTTCTAGAGACGCCGCCAATATTCTCATACATTAATAACTTCAATAAAATATATCAATGATATAATCCTTCAACACCATCATTATAGAAAAATAATCGAGACGATAAAGCATCACCGACATATTTATTCCCACACTTACAAGCACAACATCACTTAATAATGAAAAGTTAAAGTAGAGTCAAGTCAGAGTCTCCAACACACAATAACCATTAATAAAAATCTTCACTAGAGCCTAAATTTAATATCTTACCTTCATAACTTTGTTTCACAGAGATGCTCAAATATCTGACGAGTTGATAACGATTGATGCTGGTAGATAACAGGGTGTACGATGCGTATTTTGATGATATAAGTAAGTAGACAGCGTCCTCATGCAGATGATGGAGGCAGGAGACAAGAAGGAGCAATATGTTAGTAAGATAGTATAGTTGAGCCACCATGGCGACCCCTGGCACCTTCCATCACTCACTACACATCACACCACCAGAGGCTCTCAACACTCACTACTCTTTTTACTGTAACTTTATTTAGGCACTGGTGCACTAAGGACAATTATCATATGTAGTGTAAATTACCTATAATAATCCAAAAAAAAAAAAGTTACTGTCTAACTAAAAGAACCCCAATGGAAATATGTCACTGACTTTTTTTGGGTTTTCCAAGGTTCTCTAAATGTATGCTGTTATGTATGATAATTTATGTAACTGTATTTGTGTATACCTGAATAAACTTACTTATTTACTTACTAACCTTTTTGGGTTACCCTACATTATGTATGATAATTTTACTTATTTTACACTACACTATGTATGATAATCTTACTTTCGTGTATCTGTGCCTAAATAAACGTACTTAAGAGTTTCACCCCTTTAGTAATTGGTCTTTTTTATTATTTACGTTTCATACATTGTAATAAAGTTGGTAGAATTACCGACAATATGTAAAGTAAAAGGACACGTAATGGCTTGATAAAGCTCCTGGAGAGCGAAACGTTGCCACAATAAATGTCACATTAGTTGCACTTGTGTCCTTTTACTTTACACGTTTCATACATTTAAACTTTTACAATGACCACAATGGAAATAAGTCACTTTGGCTTCTTTTGGGTTATAACAATTGTACTAATGTGTATATCTGTATTTTTATAAACTGCGACAGGTCGTAACTCATACCTACCCATACTCACTCATGGTTATCTTGAAAATAGCATAAAATACCGACAAGTTGAAAATTAAGAATTGCAGCCTGGAGAAGAGTTCATCTCCATGGTCTGGAACGATTTAATAAGACTTTTCTCATGCTTCAGCAGAATTATTCTCCAGGCTGAGGGACTGACCACCTCAAATACTGAATACTGCTTCCTCTCTATTTGACTGAAGAAGCCTACTGTGTAGGCGAAACGTTTCATCTATAAAGATGCCCAACTGTTGCACCTGTATCTTAAATCACAACACTCTGGTATCTTTAGTGTATATATTTCACCAGCCACTGGCTTCATCAGTCCAGTACAGAGATGAATGGTGCTAGGCAGGTCTAACTCACATATAACATTAGAAAGGAATATTAAAATGGTATACAACGCCTATAGGTGGATAAGTAAAACACATGTGCAACAGTTAGGTATCTTTATTCCGAAACATTTCGCCTATACAGTAGGCTGCATATGTCTTACTTATCAACTTGAAGATCTAGTTGTGAGGTGGTCAGTCCCTCAGCCTGGAGAAGTGTTTTGCTCCATTGTCTGGAAGAATATGAAGTTCAAGCAACAGTATGGAGATATATACTGTCAAAAGGTGAAGCATAACTTTATTTAGGTACAGGTACACATAAATAAGAACATAAGAACGAAGGAACACTGCAGAAGGCCTACTGGCCCATGCGAGGCAGGTCCAAGTCTCCTACCGGCTTAAGCCAATGCACCCAACCTAGTCAGGTCAGGTCACATTGACTTAAGGGAGGAACACGGCAACCGACCTGGTAGCACAAGCTATCAGGTCTAACTCACACCCACCCACATCTACTCATGTATTTATCCAACCTATTTTTAAAGCTACACAACGTTCTGGCCTCTATAACGGTACTTGGGAGTTTGTTCCACTCATCCACAACTCTATTACCAAACCAGTACTTTCCTATATCCTTCCTGAATCTGAATTTTTCCAACTTAAAAACCATTGCTGCGAGTCCTGTCTAGGCTAGATATTTTCAGCACACTATTTACATCCCCTTTATTTATTCCTGTCTTCCATTTATACACCTCAATCATATCCCCCCTAATTCTACGTCTTTCTAGAGAGTGCAGTTTCAGGGCCCTTAGTCTATCCTCATAGGGAAGGTTTCTGATACATGGGATCAACTTTGTCATCCTCCTTTGTACATTTTCCAGAGAATTTATATCCATTCTGTAATACGATGACCAAAACTGTGCAGCATAATCTAAATGAGGCCTAACCAAGGATGTATAGAGTTGAAGAACAACCTGAGGACTCCTATTATTTATGCTTCTTTCTTCGATATGAGCCCAAGGATTATATTAGCTTTATTGCGAAAAACACTTTATGCACTCTATCAGGTAAAATGTTTGTCTTGGTTTCAGATTTACTGCTAAACCAGAACTCCTAAATCTTTTTTCGCAAGCCGTAATAATTAAGATCTATCAATTATTAGTTTTATGTGGCATGGTTATTGTCACTGTCAACTTTTAGACTTTGAATTGGTCTTTATTAAACTGATCTGCCACTTCTCCGACCACCTGATCAGTCTATTCTATCTTCCTGGAGTGATCGAATGTCCTCGTCAGTGCTCGTGATCCTCGTCCATAAAGTCAGTTACACAAAGGATGTGGAGGCTGTTGTGTGGTTCATTTAGATTATGCTGCACAGTTTGGTCTCCGTTTTACTATGGATATAAATTCTCTGGAAAAGTACAAAGGAGGATGGACAAAGAATGATCCCAGTATCAGATTCCTTTCACCTAATGAGGATAGACTAAGGCCCTGAAACTGCACTCTCTAGAAAGAGTTGAATTAGGGGGGATTTATGATTGTGGTTTATAGTGGAAGTAGGAATATATAAAGGGAGATGTAATCAATATGGGTTTATACAATACCGACAGGTTGTTAGGTATTGCAACATATGCATACGTTAGGACATCTTTATCCGAAAAGTTTCAGTTACACAGTAGGCTTTCTTCAGTCGAATTACAGAAAGTAGGCAGGAGCTGTAGAGATGTGAAGACGATGTTATCACTGTCAATACCCTTAAGTACGTTAGAATTTGAGGTTGTCAGTCCATCGGCATGGAGAAGGTTCGTTACCATAGTCAGGTCCTCTCTCAAATCCAGCCGTTTCACTAGTAGAGTTGGTTCGAATGTAGATTTCAGGTCTGTACCAAGTACCCTGTGTTGCAGGTGCTCTGACAGATTGAACAATTAAAATGGTATAAATACCGACAGGTATTTTTACCATTCAAGTCTCTCGGCTTCTATCAACTTTTCTGTACTCGCTGAGAAGCCCTACTGTGTAGGCGAAACGTTTCAAAATATAAAGATACACTACCGTTGCATATGTGTCTTACCTAACAACCTGGTCGGTTATTTTTATACCCTTTTAATGTTCAATCTGTCAGACACTGCAAACACAAGGCGTATCTTGGTACAGACTGAAATTCTACTTCGGACAACTGTCTACTAGTGAGAACGGCTGGATTTGAGAGGACCTGACTCCCAAAGTGACCTTACGTCTCACCTCCTGGCGCTATATTAGGCTCCTCCTGTTCCATTTAATCTTCTATTTGTTTCAGACTCTTTCGGAACAATGCTCTTCTCCTGACTGGGATGGGACTGACCACTCAAAACTTTAGGGTGATGGACCTGATTACTTCGTCTTTCAAGTCTGCTTCTGCTTCTCATCAACTTTTCTAGTTACTCGATGAAGAAGCCTACTGAGTAGGCGAACGTGTCAAAATAAAGTACCTAACCGTTGCATATGTGTCTTTACCCCCCCCCTTAACAACCTGTCGGTATTTTATACCATTTTAATGTTCAATGGAGTACTATGAAACTGTTTAGGGGGCTTGTTCCATGGGCGGGTTTGTTGAGGATAGTTGTGCCTTGTGTTATGTAAGTGCAGTCTTCTTCTAGAAAACAAGGGCTGGAGATGCGAAGAGCTCTCATTTATAACGGCTCAAAACATACTCAACCCCTGCCAGTTTGGATTCAGGAAAAATTTATAAAGCACTAATGATGCAATCATAAAAATGTAGATCTGCTTTAAACAGCATTGGAAAATATGGAATATCCATAGGAATTTTTATTGACTATGAAAAAGGCTTTTGACACAGTAAAACACGAAATCCTACCTCCACAAACTTGAACACTACGGTATCAGATAGCTCAGGCGCGTGCTTTTTCCAAATCTTACATTACTAATAGGTATTAGTACGTCACCATTAAAGACATCTGCATCAGCAAACACGGCCACTTGATACTTGAGTTCCACAGGAAGTGTCCTTGGTCCCCGGCATCTTCCTCATTTACATCAATGAACTTCCCAACGTCTATCAAACTCCTGAAACCCATTCTCTTTGCTGATGCACGACTTATGTCATCTCTACACCCTAATCTTGCCACCTCAACACCATTGTGAATGAGGAGCTGATTATAATTAAAATATTCGACTTGGATGACAGCATAAACTTACGCGTAACCATGACAAAAATTTTTTTTTTTTTTTTTTTTTTTTACTATATTTGTTGGTAGCAGATCAGGAGGATAGCACCAAATTAAACATTAGATTGACAAACACTCGAATTACCAGATATAATGGGGGGAATTCCTAGGCTTATTACCTTGACAAACAACTGAATTTCAGGCACCCTTATCACGGCATATAGCCAAAAAAAGTATCCAAAACGGTTGGGAACTCTCCAAGATCCGATACTACGTGCCGCAAAAAGCCCTTCTCACACTACACACTCACTTATTTATCCATACCTCACCTATGTATTTGGTGCTTGGGGATCAACTGCAGCAAACACACCTAAAGCCAAAATAACAAACACCCAACAAAAAGCTGTGCAGTAAGAATAATTCACTAAATCCCATCCATGGCAGCACACCCCCCCTACTCTTCAAGATCATAAACTTACATCCAGTTCAGTACATCCACACTTACTACTGTGCATCTTTATCTACAGGGCCTTAAACTCTAATATCAACTTGACCTAAAACGCTTCATTGATAGTTGTGACAGAACCCTAGGCATTAACACCAGACACCAAACATCTCTACGACATTCCCGTTGTCCGACTAATCCTGTTACAAAAAGATTCATGTATGTCAAAGGCCCTAAAATCTGAATACCCTACCCTGAGAACTCTAGAAACTGCTGACACATCTTCACCTTCAAAAA